GAGAGAGAGAGAGAGAGAGAGAGAGAGAGAGAGAGAGAGAGAGAGAGTCCATCTGTTCAGAGTTGAACCTTTTTCATTCCTCCGACAGCTTTGGCTCGAGGCATTATGTGTTTTTGGGGTTGTCCGTCCATCCGTCACCGTCCCATTCCTGTGAACGCAATACATCAGGAACGCCTGGAGGGAATTTCTTCAAATTTGGCACAGACTTCCACTTGGACTCGAGAATAAACTGATTGTGGGTCAGAGGTCAAAGTCACTGTGACCTCACGTCCGTCCCATTCTTGTGAATGCGATATCTCAGGAAGGCCTTGAGGGACTTTCTTCAAATTTGCCACGAATGTCCACTTGGAGGAATTTAATTGATTAGAATTTGGTGGTCAAAGCACACAGTGACCTCAAAAACATGTTTTTATTACTCAGGAATTGGAAAGCTAATTGTTACAACTCAACACAAATGTTTACCAGGATACAATGATGAAGTGATGTCATTTTGGACAGACAATAGATGTAAGCTGAAACAACTACGAGGCAGTAATTCTATATTTTTGTTTTACTTGAGGAGCTCAGAGTGTTCCTCCCAAAAATGCGAGAAATGTCGGGTGGGTGAAACACGAGGTGCCCAGCGCATACAAGCACCACTTAGAAAACACTTAGTCCTTACTTTTTTTCTGTTAGTGTTAGTGAACGAACTTGGATCTCTTGACTCACATACATGATATAGTGCAGTATATAGTTTAGTAAACACTAGTGCAGATCTTGTGTATCTGTATGTCTATTAATGTACACTGCACTTTTTTTTTTTTTTATCTGTACATCACATTAATCCCTCGTTTTGTGTCTGTTTTGTGACATAGGTTCCTCCAACATCATTGTGTCCCACCTTCTGGTGGCAGAGCCAGAAAAGCTATTTGCCATGCCGGACCCTCTGCAGCCAGACACAGCCCAGCGCACGCTCACCACCCTCTGTGACCTCGCTGACCGGGAGCTGGTTGTCATCATTGGCTGGGCCAAACACATTCCCGGTATGTGATGCTCAGAGTGTGAAATAGGGGAGGAGAGCATGGCAGCAGAAGAAGAGATGTATTCTCATCAGGCAGAAATATGCTTTCTTTTTTGTTCAAATAGTTTTTATAGGTGAAAAACGATAAACACACTGCTGGTTTGACAGGTCACTAGTTTTCATATTTTCTTTCTCACATCAATCCTTCCACCCGCCCGACCCCGGCACATCTGCATCAACATGCATTACAGAAGAGAGAGCAGAATAGATCCACATACTGTATATACACGTATAAATATTATATTATATACAATCCAAATAAAGAGAAATACATTTATATAAAAGAAAATAAATAGATGGAAAAATAAATTAAATAAAAATAAAAATTGCTGCTTCAACCAGTTTATATTGAGCTATGGAGTTAAATATGTTGATATCAATCGGGGGCCTGCCACAGGCCGATGATATGGTGTTGAAACATAAGCAATCAGTCAGGAGGGAGAACAGGAATGCCATTAAAATAGTAGACAAAGGGTTGCCACTTCTTTAGAAGCTTAAAGTTTAAAAAGGACCTCTCACAAGGATTCTTGAGGGGGCCCGAGAGAGGAATCAAACTTTGCATGCACGAAGTGAGGGACCTGAAGATAGCGGAACCGATTTGATTTGAACGTTGCAGATTAAATTTAAGACATTATGAGTCAGCGCTAGAAAGAATATCATCATAGAGGTCTTTTGAAGCGGCTGATAATCCTGACTCTTATAAAGGGCCTGTGTGAACCTGATTCTGATGGCTGAACAGCCCAGTTGAGAGGTGCAACTAATCGGTAAAACAAAATGTCTGCTGAAAGTTCAACTGAACCGATGCAGTGCTTGACTGCATTACAAACTACAGTCGGTTCACCAGCTGCCTACAGCATGCAGCCCATTATTTGGCCACTGTAAAGACACAGCGCCTTCTGTGTCAGTCGACATTTAAACTCTCTCTCTCTCTCTCTCTCTCTCTCTCTCTCTCTCTCTCTCTCT